ACGTAAATGGTAATTTGAAAATGGGAATGTAAGTAAAGTTGGAGAGAAAGAAGTTATTTCAACTTAGGTATTATGTCTCTTCAGTTTTAAAAATAGCATATTTGAGCTGTATTTATTAGAAGAAAATTTCAAATTTAGAGATATGGAAAATCTTTAAAATGGTTCACAAAATAATAATGTGAAAATTATTGATATGGAAAAATAGCAAATATATTATTGATGGGATAAGCAGTATAATTTCAAAAACATTCAAATTATAAGTACATAAGTGTACTTTATACGTTACATATATTATACATAAATGTACATTAATATGTGAAGAAAACTATCATATTTTGATCACTATTGTATTTGGAATCTAAACCTGAGTAGAAAATAAACATTATTCTATCATCCACACCCTAAAATGAGGGTTATTATCCCGTTTTTGTGTTTTGTTTTGTTTTCATAACAGACACACACACAGAAGAAAAGGAGAGAGACAGAGAGACAGAGAGAGAGAGACTGGGAAAACAATTCTGGAAACTTGAGAAAGCTACTCTTTACAGGATCATTGTGCCCCCCCACTTGCAACTTACTGCAGTTCTGCTTTTGGTCAAAAGATGGCGCTTACCAGGTTTACTAAATGTTTTCCAGGCAATTGTTTTTATAAAGTAGACACATAATAAATTCTATTTTGCTTTAGCAGGTTTTGAGCATTCACATAGGGTGTGACTGAATATACCTGTTGTATAAACCTGGGAAACTCCACACAAAGACAGTGAGTGCTATGAGGATTTATCCACAGAGTACCAAAGAACAAACAAGCAGGCAAACAAAAAGCCAAGGTAGTTTGCCAGAACTTGGCCGGGAGAGCGCACAAGGCAATGATTGGTCCCTTCTTTTATGTCTCAACCTCTTAACTTTCTGAATGGAGGTGATTTCAGCATGAAACACATACAGAGCTGTCCTAAAAAGTGATTTCAACCTATGTGAGTAAGAGGGAAAAATCGGGGTGTCATGCGGTTATCAGGGATGTGATTTCTCCTCACGTCTGTGCCACGGAACAACTGGAGTCTGGCTAGGCAGTTTCTCCACATTTGTTTTTCATTTTATTGATTTGATTTTCTGTCTTCCTTTTGCCCAGCCTCAGTTGATATCAGACTTGCAGTTGACGTGGGCGAGTTGTCCTGTGAGACCACTGGGGCTGGAGTGGCCATCAAAACAGCTGGATCACAGTCCATGTACCAAGTAAGGCTCTTCTGATGTCAACAAACTTCTGACGCTTAGAGACATTTGGGGGTCACAAAGGTCACTGCATTTTGTGTCTGTGGCGTTTTCAATGTAAACCTCCCCTTTGTAGTAAAGCTGCTTTCAGTTGGAAATTCGCAGGTACAGATTATATATAATCCCTGTTCTGAATCCAGAAGAAAGGGAATTAAAGGTCACAGTTTTGTGAAAGTCCATCTTGTTTTAAACAGAAGCCATGCTAGTGGCCATCCAGAGCTGTGAAGCGGACTTCTAAGTCCTTGAGAAGGTCTCTAGGTTGTCATCACATACTACAGTTACTAAGGTAACTTAGTAACTTGCTTCAGAAACCTTCAAGGCCCCAAAGCTTTCCTTAGAAGGAAATTTGTGTGCTTTCTTGAATAGTATTCATACCGCTTCAACCCATTCACCTCTCTTCCAGCAACTGTCTCAAATCTCTGACTCCAAAGTTTATGCTGTGTTGTTGAAGTTCAGCCCTCTGTCCTTTGTCCATGAGATTTTCTTCAGTTATCTTGGGTAAACAGGGCAGCAGTCGCAGCTCAGAAAACATTCCCCAGTATAACCAAAGAAGCTTAAAAGTATCCAGTCGTTCAGGAACACAAACAATATCCCCCACACTGCCAAATACCCTCCTACATACATTTCTTCTTTCACAGCAGAAAAAAAATAAAGATAAGGTGTCCTGTTTGTGTTATCTTAGTACTCTCTGGTTTTGTCTGCCCTGCCTTCTGCCTGCTTCTGTTTGTTTTTCTGACCCTAACCTTGTCTGGCCTCTTCATTGTCCTTTGAACTTGACAAAGTAAACTTTTTATCTAGCCCCCTTTCTTTGGGGCCATGTTTTAATTTAACCAAGTTATCAGTCATTGAAAATATTTCTTTTGTCAAGCTACCTCGTGAATTTTCAGGGGATCAAAGAGAAGCTACTGGGAAGTAAGAACCATTTAGCATCTCTTTCACCTATCATAAGGCTTCTTGGGAAACACTGCAGGTGTCTGCAATTTATTATTATCACATCACGAAATGCAGTTACTATTGGATATTGAACAACCTAGGTTAACATTAAAGATTTGTGTGACGCATTAATCTTCGTTTAATGGGCTGTCTGCGATGTGGAAATGACAACCTAAATTTGTGTGAAGAATTGGAAACTGTTTCCACAAAGGTAATAAAGATTTCAAACTCAGAACTGTCTGACTTCCTATTTGAAAGCTATTACCATAATGCCTTTACTGAAGCATTGTAAATTCTGACATTGGATCCTACCCACAGAGACCCACACCTCACCAACAAGCCATGGATGCTCTTTTCAGGATAGGTTACAGAATCATTTTGAACTTGCCTGACCCTTCTGCTTAGGATCCCTGGATGAACTCTTCTTTTTGTAGAGTTTCGATTGCAAGCCTTTTTTTTTCCCTTCCAGTTTGTTATTGCGGGAAGAGCTTTCCTAACAGTCCAGCTCAGTTTCTCTATTCTTGGTTGTTAAAATGAGTAAGAGATTCATGTTACCTGTTCACTGTGGTAATTAATGGGGTTGTTCAACATTTTACATTTTTTTTGTTTTAAACTTAGCATAACATTATCTTAAGAGATGTAAAGCTCATAATTGTTATCCACAGGCAGCATGTAAGCTACAGCTCCCCCGAGGAAGCAACAAGTCAGGGTTAAAGGAAAAGAAAATTCTAAATTTTCGTCTTAACTTCTTGGACATTTTGGAATTAAAAAAATAAAGCGTAACAAAGGAAGACAGCAACACAGCTTTCCCATCTGGATCTGGCTGTTAAAAGCAGAGCACAGGAACAAAGGATGGCTAATCATTAATAAAGTGGAGAGAAATGAGCACTTCACTGCATAAGATCATGACATTCGGCTCCATTACCGGAGCAGGTGAAGCTGGAACTAGGCTTCAGCAGCAGAGAAAGACTTGCCCCAGTGACTAAGGCCGAGGAGATGCAACCATGCAGATTATGGTCAACACAAAGATATAGTGCACCAATTATAAGAGGGAGAGTATGTGGAGAAGTATAGGGATTACTGAGATGACAGCAACACCACTGACTTCCTCACAGTTACAGTCAGAGAGTAAATGACCCAACCTGCAGACTAGCAAACAGGCGGGATCTAAGCCCCAAGGCAATGGATGCACTGGGGAGAAGTCACTGGGAAGGAAGGAGTCAGATAGACTTACTTTGGCTGTTTTTTTTCTTGTCCCTTACCTGGGTTTGCAGCAGGCACACGTTTCTGTTTCCTTGTAATCTTGCTGACTGTTTATTTAGTAGTTTCTTTGCTGTGTTTCAGTCCAACTGGCCTAAAAGAGGAAAGCAAAGTCTTAGTGCTCGTTACTTTCGCGTTATTTTGATTATTAAAGTCAGTGGTTATCTTTCATGTGCTGCTCTGTTTCCATTTTGAATATTTGGGTTTTAAGGAGCTCCAATAAAGATGATTTGCCTTTCTCCATTGAATAAATTGGTATAAAACAGTTGTATGGAGGGGTTAAAGTGTAGGCTTTAGTCCAATGGTAAGTTGCAGAACACTAAAACCAAGTGGGCCTTATGACAGACCGAGCACCAAATTGAAGTAAATACTGCCAAACAGGTTTGAGAACCGAGATACTTAGATTTGTGCTGCAGGAGGCTACTTAAAAAGAAGCAGACTGTTCCCTTCGAATTTCATGAACTATTCATGTCCTCTTGTCCTTTGTCCGTTTATTTTTATTTTGCTGTTTGTTTCTAATCAACATGTAAGAGCTACCTTAGGCTGCCCTTGACATTGTATTGTTTTTTTTTATGGGGGGGGGGGTATTAGTTTTTGACATAGGTTCTCACTCGGGCTCCCTTCAGCCGCCACCCCCCCCCCAAGCTTCCTGTCTCAGTTTCCTCAGTGCTTGATTTACAGATGGGAGGCCCCACAGCTGCGTAAGAGCGACTTTAGAGCAGAGATGTTTTTGCATTGAAACCCTTGTGCCAAGTTTGTTGAGTTTTCCGCTTTAGCTTATGCTATGTTTTACTACAAGGCTTTCCTCGCTAACTTCAGTATTAGATACATGTATTTCTTGAAAGAATTTTAATTCATGTTTCATATTTAGAAATGACTAAAATGTGCTAAGGTTTCTGAAAGGATGAATAAGAAGACCTGATTAACACACACACACACACACACACACACACACACACACACACACACACACAGACACACACACACGGGGTTGGACAGAGAACACACATGCAAGTGGGAGAAGGCACATATCTCAGGACCAGGAAAATTAATCTTGCAAAGGCTTAATTCTCCCCCAAGATAAGGTATTATTAATTCACCCCAGTTACAAATGAGGACCTGGCAAGATCTTTCTTATACATTTTTGAGCAGCTGGACCTTAATAGAGTTTGCAGAAATAATATGGTTGGAGAGGCAAAAGCGGGGGGGGGGGGGGGGGGAGAAGAAGAAAGAAAAATAAAAACAACTATGTATGATGCAAAAAGATATTATCTGAAAGATATTATCTGGGTCTTTAATATATGGTAAAGGCATATCTGCATTTTCTGGGGAGGGGTGTCATCCACCCTGGTGCTTTGAATGCAAACCAAGGGACACATGTTGCCATTCTGCTTTGGAGTTTTTTTGTTTTTTTTTTTTCAATTTTTTTTTTCCCCAGATGGAAACAAGTCTGGGTTTTGAGTTGAAGGCCATCCCAGAGGGGCGCTCGCTCCCCTGCAGCCCCCAGCAGGAGAAGGGGAGGAGCCTCTGCCAGCTTGTGGGAAGCTGTGGGAGGCTCGCTCTCGCTCGCTGAGGCTCCTGTCCTGGGGGAGGGGCTGCACTTCTCCCGGCCTTGGCAGCAGACTGGGAGCCAGGAGGTAATGGCTGTCTTTAAGCCCTTTATTTTCTGGGAATTTCTTCGCGCTTTGAGGGGAAAGGTGGGAAAAGAAAATAGAAATTAGAAATTAGAAATGTTTGGATAGATTTGTCGTTACTCGGGTAAAATTAATCCTCTGGAATTTGGGGTTTTCGGATAATTTGAAAGTCCGTAGTGTGGGGAGAGGTGATCAGCAGCTTCTAAATTAAGTCTTCAGTGAGGCATGCCGTTCATGTTCATTTTCTTATGTGGCATTCTATGTTTTCATCTCTGGTACAGTTTTGTTTTGTTTTTTTTTTTTTTTTGTTGTTGTTGTTGTTTTTAAATACGATGTTGTTTTAAACATTTGCATTCGGCCAAAAAAATTACTGTCAGAAAACGCAATCATAAAATGAATGACACAGAAAGGTGCATGGGCTTGGAACAAGATTTAAATACGCTGTTGAGTGATATCACTTGTAAAAAAAAATGCGCGTTTTCCTGACTGGGGGCGGGGGCGAGAAACTAGACTCCTTGCGTCTCTGAGTGTTTTGGGTCTACTTGGTTGGTGGCGAGGTGAGACGTAATCTATTTAAAAAAAAAAAAAAGAAGAAGAAATGCTTTCAGCGTTTTCTGAATTGCTTTATTCCGATAATTTTTATAATTAGAAAAGCCAAATGATGCTGAGATCGCATACCTATTTCACTTCAAACATACACGCGCGTGAACACACACAGTACACACAGAGGTAAGTGCTCTCATAATCCATTTCTTTTGCTGAGAGAGGTTTTTTTTTTTTTTTTAATTCTTTCTTTTTGGACCCAGTCAAGCAAGAAATCAAGTTGTGTAGACTACAGCCCTGCGTGCATCCTGCTTGGGAGGGCTCCTGTCAGGCCACAGGTATAGCAGTGATGAGCAGGAACCATTATTTTTTCAGCATTAGCTCAGTTTAAACGTGAGATAGGGGACTGGGTTTATTTCCCTAAGCAGTTTTAAAAGTCCTGTGCAGCATGCTACTTCAATGCTATGGACCGTTATACGTAGCAGGCAAATAAAAGGATGAAGCTTTGGTGATTTGAAAAGCTGTCGGCAAAGTAGAAATCGTGAAAAAAAAAAAGTAAGTTTAGAATGACAAGCAGCGTTTTAAGTTGTTTAAGGAGAAAAAAATACAATTTTGTTAATTGATTAATGTGTATAATCAAATCAGAAAAAAAGGGGGTCAGCCTACTACTAATGGAATTTTTATGTACTGGAGATAGAAGTGGTCTTACTGTTTTAAAGTAGCCTTGTTGTTGTTGTTGTTGATGTTGTTGTTGTTGAAGACAGACTATAGACCAGGCTCACCGGGAACTATGTGGCTTCAGGCTGGCTTTGTGGCAATCCTCATACTTCAGCCCATTGAATGAATGATGGGAATATAGGCTTAAGCAAACAGGCTGGATTTAAAATAATCTTTAATCTAGATTTGATCATTTTATAATGATATCAGAAACTAAACCTTGCAATAAAATGCTTCAAAGTTGGGGGAAAATAGAATTTGAAACAATGCATTAATGACCTGCACTGGCTGCAAGGCATGGTGTTTTACATCTGGAATCTGAGCATTCAAGAGTCTAAGGCAGGAGGATGGCCTTGCGTTTCCAAGTTAGCTAGGCACTGCATAGTGATTTCCAGATCAGCCTGGATTGCAGAGCAAATCAAAGAACCAAAACCCAGACTCAAAACCAAATGAAAAATTAAAAACGATTGGCTTGTGATAGTATGAGTTTGTGAGTATATCTAAAATATATAAGGTATATAGTCAATTATTAGTAGAGTTATCTTTCTAAAATTATTTTTGTAGCTTTCTCATATTTTATATTTTCAATAGGCATGAAATTTATTTTACAGTCCAGAACTTTGGGGATGAGGACATTTGGACCCTGTCTTTTATGCAATGCATGACAAAGCTCTGATTTTCTGTTTGGTATATTCTAGAAGCCCGAGAAAGCTGCAGGCTGGGATATGCTAGTGACAGTTCTGCTTCTGGACACAAGATGGCGCTTGCCAGATAGCCTAATCCCCCCCCCCCCCCCACACACACACACAAGCGTTTTTTATAAAATGAGCAAAGCAAACCATGAAACCTATTTTGTGTTAGGAAAATCTAAGACAGCATGTAGTATATAGTGAAAATTCATTTCACAAGCTGTTGTGTAAGGAAGACAAAGCCCCATTCAAGACGGCTGTGAGGACTCTAAACATTTCAAAATTGGAGTTCATAAGGTTTGGCCCAAAGGAGACAGAAAGCTCCGGCTGCTTTGGTTCTCTTCAGTCTCTATCTGTGACCAAGACGGCACGCCTACAAGAGTTTCGTTAGGGGAATTCATTTACACTTTTAAAAGACCGACTTTATTGGTTTGCTTCTCTGTTCCTTTTTGAAGCAGCCTCAGTTCATATCCCATCTGTAAGTGATATGGGCAGTTTACCTGTGATCCTTTTGCATCCTAGAAAGGCGAAGCAGCTGCAGGACTGTCCAGCAGAGCAAAGGCTCTGTTGAGAAAGTGGCTTGGGTGAGACAGCCGGATCGCAGGACCAGAGCACCACAGTTCACGTGGCTGAAGGTAAGAATCTTCCCTTTTCATAAAGCATTTCATGTTAAGAACATATGAAGTTGGAGATCTGGAGTACAGCTTTTTTCTGGTTTGGTAGCCGTGGCGTATCAAATTACAAGCCGCTCTTCGTAAGGCTGGGAAAGAGATAAGTACAGACGGTTCCTCCTGGTGCTGCTTTGATTTGTGTCTCTTCAACCTTAGTATGCTACAGACCCCACTGGCCTTCGGGAGAAGGTCGTGCTTTGCCTTTGCATGTTTTCCAAAGCGTGTAGTGCCACTCGGCTGCCTCAATCCTGGGTAAGAGCAGAGAGCCCCTGATGGAGGAAGGTCATTGGCTAATAAAGAAGCTGCCTCGGCGCATTTCATAGGCCAGCCTTTAGGTGGGTGGAGTAAACCGAACAGAATGCTGGGAGGAAGCGGAAGTGAGCTCATACGCGCTTTAGCTCTGCTCTCTGAGGAGACGCGTGGAAGCTCCGACCCAGGATGGATGTAAGCTAGAATCTTCCCGGTAAGCAAACCTTGGTGCTACACACATTAATAGAAATGGGCTAGGCAGTGTTTAAATAAATACAGTTTGTGTGTTGTTATTTCAGGGTATAAGCTAGCCAGGCGACCAGGAGCCGGCCTGAGGGAAGAGGCCTGCAGCTCTTACTGCAAGCCCCGGCTTTTGTGTGTGTGTGTGTGTGTTTTTTTTTTTTTTTTTTTTGGTTTTTCGAGACAGGGTTTCTCTGTGGTTTTGTGTGGTTTTTTTTGTTTTTGTTTTTGTTTTTGTTTTTTTGGCTTTTCGAGACAGGGTTTCTCCACATTAGCAAGTGATGTGGACAGTTGACCTGTGATCCCTCTGAGCCCTTGAAAGGCAATGCAGCTGCAGAGGTGTCCAGCAGAAGTATCCAAAAGGCTTTGCTGGGAACACAGCTGGAAGGAGAATCAAGACAGCTTTTAGTCAGTCATGTGGTAACGACAGGAAACATAAAACTGTTTGGTTCAGTGCACTATTGCCAGTGTTCTTTTTGTTTGCTTGCTTGCTTGCTTGCTTGTTTATTTTGTGTGTACAGGCGTATGAGGTATGTCTGTGCAACACTTGTGTGCAATACCCTTAAAGACCAAAGAAGGGTGATGGATCCCTGGTTGATCCCCTGGCACAAGGTTACAGTGGGTGTGTGCACCACCACATGGCTGCTGGCTTTCAAGCTCAGGGCCTCGGAAGGAAAAGCCAGTACTCTTCATACTGAGACATCCCTTCAGCCCCATGTGGTTTGATTTTTAGAGGTAAGGTCTCACTCTAGAGTACAGGCTGGCCTGATACTGGCTATATAGACCAGATCAGCCTAGAATTTGCAGCTGTTTTCTTGTCTCTGCCTCCCTAGTGCTGGAATAATAGGTATTAACAGCCATAACCATCTCTACCAGTGATTCTGGCATGTGCGTGTCTGTCTGTGTATTCCACTGTGTCCATAGATTACCTCAAATGCAGTTTAACTGATATTTTCAAGCTCTGAGTTTATTTGAGAATGACTCTATTATAATTTGAGGAAAATGTATGTGCTAAAGCTCTATAATCAAATTAGGCAAATGTTCACAATGATAGCTACTTTTGGAAGACGGCCATGTCCAAGCCAAACTGTATGACTCACTAGAGACCCTTGAAAAGAATCCTGTCGATAAGTAGCCATGCCAGTCATTCCAAACCTCTGACTGTCACCCTCTTAATGATAGGTTATTGTGTTATCTAGGCCAGTATAGGAGACTCAGGCCCTGAATTCTGGCTGGCTGGTATGGGTAGATAAAACAGCACAGACGAGTTAGGTAAGTTAAAAGAAGAGTCCTTAGAATAAACTTTGAAAGATCCCAGAGTACTCCCTCAATGGAAATGGTACCCCTGGGTTCTCCCAGCTCTCCTTGCCCTTGCCCGTCTCTCATTTGTCACCAGCACACATACTGATTCCTTTTATACATTGGCTACGATAAGGACTGTGTACTGGGACATTATAAAAGGACCATTTTTAAATGATTTAAGTAATTCTCCTAATCACAATCTTATGTCTTGACCTGGTGCCAAGTAATTTTGTCCTTTTTAAAGATATGTTTGTGTGCTCGCATGCATGTGTGCTCACCTCTCTGTGTAGAGACCTAGGGAGGCCGAAAAAAAAGTGTTAGATCTTGGAGGCAGTTGTGAGTCACCTGACGTTATGGCTAGGAACTGAACTCAAGTCCTCTGAAAGAGCAGCAGGCACTATAAACTACTGAACCATTCCACTGACCCCCATCTCTCTTTTTTAAATGACTGTTTTCTAGTGTCTTGCATTCAAATTATTTATTCAAGCTTTTTTCTTTTATTGAATTGTCTATGTTCATGGTGGGGGTGTCACATGCTTGTGTGTGCATTTATGTATGTGGAGGCCTGACGTCTTCACTGGGTGTCTTCCTCAATCACTCTTCATATGTTTTTGATATCAGGTATCTTATTGAACCTGGAGTTTCCTTGTCTTCTCTAGATGAGTGGCCAGCTCCCAAAATCCTCCTGTCTCCCTTCACAGACTGGGATGGCAGGCACAAGCCATTGTATCTGGCTTTTACATAGGTACTTGGGATAAACTCGGGTCTTTACAGTGTGAAATCACACTGGCTCCTCTACGTCCCATGTTTTTCCACCTCATTTTTATTAAAGTTACAGTGATTATAGATATGTATGGGAGGTGTTACACCCTAAAATTCGTGTTTCTGTCAATTCACATGGTATTTAGTCCTATTTATTTAGATCTTTAATTATTTGCATGAGCATGTTAATTAAAGTTTCTAACATACTAATCTTGCATTTAGTTTTTTGTTTTTGTTTCTGTTTTTGATTTTTTTTTTGAGATGAAATCTCTCCTTGACCCAAAACTTGCCAAATAGGTAAGTGTGGCTGCCCAGCAAGCCCTGGGGAATCCATCTGTCTCTGCCATCCAGGTACTGTATTACAAGCACAAACCACAACACCTGGCTTTTTCAATGTGGGCCATAGGGAACCAATTCACGTTGTGCTTGCAATGCAAACACTTCACCAACTAAGCTGTCTCCCATACGTGTTTCTTGTATATTTTTTAAATAAAATTATACATGGAGTTTAAGAACTTTAACCTTAAGTCTTTGTTGTATAGAAACACAGTCAACTCTAGATTAATTGATTCATTAGGATTCTTTTTATAGATCATTCATGTTATCGACAAAGGCAGTTTTACTTTTCCTTTCCAGGACATATAAAATTAATTTATTTTCAAGGCCACATTATATTCACGGGGGCCTCCAGCCCAATGTTGACTAGAAATGCTCAATGCAGATACTTTTACTATGTTTTTGTTTTAGCAGAAGGGCATGCCACGTATCACCACTATGTATAACGGTAACGGTATGGCTTTTGTAAATACTAGTGATCTGATTGAAGAAGATTCATTTGTTTTATAACGTGCTCAGTGTTGTTATCCTGAATGTTTGTGGAATGTTGTTAGATTCTTTGTCTGCATGATTTTCTACCATTTTAGGTCTTCTAGGATGGTCAATTGAATTGATGGATTTGGTGATGTTGAACAATCCTTCCATTCCCCAGAATGAGTTTCATTTGATCTTGATAGGTCATTTATAACTGCCATTGTTTCAAGAAGTAGTATTTGGTGAAGATTTTTGCTTTATGTTTATAAGAGATACTAGTCTGTAGCTTTCAGTACTTTTTATTGTGCTGTTGGTATTGGGTAAATACTGGTTTCATAAAAATTTGTTTGACGTTGTTCCTTATATTTTATCACTTTATTCTTACTAGTTTGCAGTATTGGTTTTTCAAGTAGAGGCTGGTGCACTACAAGATTTTGGTCCTCGATTCCTTGCCCTAAATTTTCATCAGCCCCTATATACCTGTACTACCAGAAGGGGATCTCTCTCTATCTTCATGTTCTTCCCATTTTGCCCACTAGTACTAGGTTCCCAATGAGGCAGCAAGTCTTAGACAGGGTAGTCCCAATGTTTGGGGGTGCCTTTGGGCCTGGACCTTGATAGCTAGAGCTTTCTCAGTAGTCTTCCCTCTCCTAGTAGCAGGTAAGCTCCAATTTGAATCTCTGGGTGAACTTTGGAAGGCAGCTATTGCTCACCAACTACCACAAACACACACACACAAACAGAGAGAGAGAGAGAGAGAGAGAGAGAGAGAGAGAGAGAGAGAGAGAGAGAGAGAGAGAGAGAGAGAACCTCAAAGCCCATCCCTAGGGAAACAGTTCCTCCAACAAGGCCATACCTCCTAATCCTTCCCAAACAGTTCTATTCCCCAATGACTAAGTATTCATATATATGAGCCTATGGGGCCATTTTTATTCATGCTACCACAAAGTTCATCAGCTTTTGAAACTTAATTTAACATAGTTCTATCATGATAGACTGAGGGATAGCTAGGACCTTATAAGATATCTAGAGAGTTGTCATTGTTAAGTTTGTTAAATTGGTAATTACATTTTCTTATGCTTCTTGTACTTAAGAGAAAGTACTTCTGGTGCTTTTTAGTAATGTATGCATGTGTTATTCTTGCTATTTATATTAAACACATCCTAGAAACAGGTGGTTCCTAAAGTATATTTATAGAGTTGATTTTTGTATGCCAGTTATTATTATGTTGTGTTTACATTTTTATTCTTTGTATTATTATAGATTCAAACTGTATTTTAAAGCATCATGTATTATACTTGAGCTTTAACATATATTCTGGTTCTTATAACCACCACTACAGTCAAAAGTCAGTATTGCATCACCCCCATGATTTCCTTGTGCTGCCCCTTTAAAGCTACACCCTCTCCCATCTGGAACACCAGCATCAGTGATCTTTTCACTATTATTACCCTTCTATTATTTTGAAAATGTCATGCATAATAAATCATATGGTGCTGTGGTGGACAGATTCTAAGTAGCCCACTCCATTGCAGAGCCCTGGCGTGCAGGCTACACCTCATTTGCAATTAGCGTAAACTTTGGCAAAGATGATAGGATGT